ACAATTGATTCCGACTCTAACGTGTTCACTTCTCAAGCAGTGACAATTATATCGACTTCAACATTCGGTGAAAAAAAAACACAATTTTGTTTGGGAATGTAGCCTTATTTATCTTTATTTATCTTTATCTATCGAAATGGCGAGACGTCGACGGTGAATGTTTTTATGTGTTTCCTCGTATCAAAGATGGGTTCTCATGAAGCGACCAGCAGTGTTGCCTGCTCACATGCACCGAATGAAACGTACCGTTCGTTGTACCTTTCTGCGACGTGCAAGCATACGTTACAGTGGAAAATAGTTCGTCGAGCCGACAGCTCTCGTTTACTTGACGTTCGACGATCCTCTCTTTTTATCTATTTCATTATTGATCGACAGAGTGGACCGGATTTGACAATGAGACAGTTTTGAGGCGAGACTCATGGACATTACTTGTAAGAGGTGAGCGACAGGATGTTACGTATTGTCACACGCCGACGAGAGTTAAAAGCCGACGCAATCGCGATTTGTTTTGACCCCCTCCTCGGCGATTGACGTATCGCGGATACGTCCCGATGGGCACCTCTTTTCGGTGTCACATCTGTGTGTTCTCGTAGCCTAATTCGAGACGCTAACGAGATCGGTTGTCACATCCCTATCCTCGAGAATGGATCGTGGATTAATCGCATCACTTATCCGGCACGGATCCACGCCGTAGAAACAATACCTAATCAGATGTGAATAAACAACTCGTGAATAAGCGTATTTCTCGCGGACAGAATCGCAGAATCGACGTTGCGAATTAATTATCAATTAATTATCGTAATTAAGAAATACACGCGTATCGCGCGTCAATCGTGATGCGGGTCAAACAGCTGTAATTTTATGTATTTTAGAGTTAATAAATTTGCATTATAAAGACATGATTTTTCAAGATAATAGAATGAACCAGTCGCCATGTAAATTTGCGTCGCGTACTGATACTCATGATAATTACATGCGATTACCGGACATGCGGGATCAGTCGAATAAAGGATATAATATTTGCTTGATGTTTGTTTTACAGTAAAAAACGCGTCCTTCAAATGGAGCGTGTTCTGAAAGCTGTACCGGCGGATTTAAGAGTAAAAATGGAGGCTCTTGTGCATGATTTGACTTTGGCACTAGAAGAGAGCAGCAACAGTGCGAATCTCAGACGTAGATGGGGTATCAGGAGGAGAGCCCGCTCGACAGGGAATATTCGTAAGTGTAAGAGAGAACAATTCGATGTAACATCAGGCCTATTCTTTTCAGATGAACTTCATGACTGTGATCCGATTCACTTTCACAATGCTCAAGATTTTCACTCACAGCATCATTTGTCCTTAGGTCTGTTTGTTATTCTCATATTAAATTGCACTAGATTAGCGCAATTTAGTATATTTTACAGTAAACCCGTTTTACTAATGTAATTTAATTTTAATCTCGATTCAATTAATTTATTTCTAAGAATTATGGCTGGTATTCATACTCGATTCTTATATTTAAGATTCTTAAGTACAATTTTAAGATGACATGAACTAATCAGAAGCAATATTCACAATTCGTTCTTATTTTAAGTGCTAATACGAACACGTACAGCTTTTTGATTGGCTTGACATCTTAAGATTGTACTTAAGACAGTCTTAAAAATAAGTATCGACTACGAATACTGGCTACAAAATCATATTATTAGCATCTTAGACATTACTTAACTATTAGATATCTAAGTGGAGTAACTTGGACTCTCCTACAATTATTTTGTTTTAATTTTTGTTCCAAGTTAGCAATATATAATAATAGCAATAAAAAAAGTTTTTAATATCATTTTTTGAACTGTCTAACATTTTAGAAACACTTTTTACAACGCTAAATTTCAAAGAAAATTCTGAGAGATCTAAATTAACACAGTTTATTCATTGATTTCATTAGCTTAAGTATCTAAAGGTTAAATCAAAATTAATAAAGTTAATTTGTAATTGGTAGAAATAGAATTAAACATTAAAAAGTAAAAAGATATAGTGGGAATTGAATTTGAGAACAATATAATGCAAAAATAAAGAATGGTTTTCTTTCTTTCATCAAACATATATCTATTTCACTTTAAGTTCCAAAAATGTATACTAATTTAGCTATAGAAAACAGACTTCTAGTTTAACGTTTGATAAATAATAAATAATAAATTGAATAAATTTGATGAATTTATTCAAAGAGCATCGTGAGCATGGATCGAATTGTAGTTCTTGCATGATTAATATTGGAAGAAAAAAAGGAAAAAATAAATCTACAGATATTTATAAAAAGAATAGGCCATTAACTAAATTAATTTCATTAAACTAAAAATAATAGAGGATATATCTCAAGCATCTTAATTGCACCTACGCAATGATTAATTGCAGTTCTGCGTGACGCACAGGATTATTATCAAGATTATCTTTGTAAAAATGAATCTCTACAGCATGAAAAAGTTAAATATTAATCGCATGTAATCATCGAGAATTAAAGTAACGTATTAAGTTATAATGTAATATTGAACAATTAATGTACTGTATAATATTTTTGCAGCGGCATTAAGTATGAACAAACATTCGGATGACAGCTCATCTTCCATTTGTGAAATTCGCATTCCAAAAACTGCCAATGTTTCGAAATATCAGTCGGATAGTGACGATCCTAATCAGACCAAACGTTTCGCACATTTTCCAAATTTAAATAATGTCAGTAATATTGAGAGCGACTCAGTAAATGAAAATTTTGTGCCAAGAGCGAACACCAGACGCAAAAGGAAGTTTAAAAGAATGGCAATTGATTCCGATTCTAACGCGTCCACTTCTCAAGCAGTGGCAATTATGTCGACTTCAACGTTCAGTGGAAAAAAACGTATTTTTCGAAGTGATTGTAAAAATAGATATAGTGCTATATGGTAAGGAAATAAAATCCAATTATTTTCTATTCGCAATAAGAAGCAATATACAGTTGCCTAATTTTGCATTCCAGGTGCGGAAAACGTAAGAGATCGTGGAGGGAACGTTCGATAGATTGTGAAATGAGAGTAGCTAAACCAACCAAAAATGCAAAATCGAAAAATCGAGATAAAATGCAAGGCGAAGATACAGTGGATTGTTCCCGTATATCTAGTTCTAGCATTTCATCCAGTGATTCGGAAGCAGGTCTTATTACAAACGATGAAGATAGAGAAGGTATGATCAACTTAAAAGCAATACTGAAGCCCGGTTCCATCAATATATGATTAACTTTAATTTAACTTTTACATTTCATCTTTTCCTAACTCTAAAAATTAAAAAAGAATGAAGAGTTTAAATTCTGGAACTGGACTTGAATATATAT